GAATTCAGTCAAATATGATGTTTTTACCTCTTAGACAAGACGTTAGTGCTTAAAATTGGTCAACACAAAGAAATAGAAGAAATATAATAACACTGCTAATTTTTACCAGCATGAACAAAGTTACTATTTCACTACTTACTTCTTTTCCCTTGTGAAAGAGAAAAAAATGGATCTATAATTGCTATAAAATTAATTCTAGTGATTTTTGATTTCTGCAAAAATCTTTTTTTTTCTTTTGGAAGGATAACTGTGAAATCTTAGGACTAGATGAAATATTGTCCACTAAATGGAAATCTATTTCAAAAAGAAATGGGAAATCAGAAATGTGGTTTTATTAAAAACATTTTCATAAACTTAGTTATTCCCAAGTATCCTATCCTATCTCTATATATTTTTTAAAAAGAGGCCCCATCTGTATACAGAACAATCTTTATTTTATAAAGAGGGGTTTTGTATCCATGTAACATCTTACACTACTTACAGTTGTAAAGCTGTTTGCTATGTTTCAACATTCCAAATAAATAGCTTATAAAAAGGTTTGAATTAGAAGCAGGGGTGAGGTACAATACAATAATTGTAACTGATACATAAAAACAGCATGAAATAAAAAATGTTTCCTGATAATTTCAAATTCCTCAAATTTCTGTGTGCAAATCATATCTATAGCCATCAACATTTTGCCAGCTCCTGTATATTGCCATTGTGCTGAAATGATGGCTGTCTAAATGGCATATGATGAATCTCACATGCAGTTTCATGAGTGATCACTGCCTTAAAGAATCTAACACTTGGTTTTTAAACAAGCCTGCATCTCATGATCCCAATCTACATATTATTTCCATCAATTTTCCAATCTCTGATGACAGAATTCTCTGATGACAGAAAAAACAAACTATGATCTGACATCCCCCACCTCTACCCATGCATGTTTAAAAAGTATTCTGTTAGAGGAACCTTATGTCATGTTTCTCCAGGTCAGCTGTAGCAATATGAACACATATAGTTCACTGTAGCTACATCTCAGTAAGTCTTGTATGGAAACACCCATGGCATGGGTGGAGGGAGTGTCTGCTGCTTATCTGTCACTTAAGGTGAAACAGATAAAATACATTTGAGCTTCACTGATATATTGGCTGAAATCCTGTTTGTAAGGGAAATGACATAATCAGCCAGGATGATATTCTGGAAGTGAAACATTTGCTCTTCTTATCCCAAAGCCTCCACAGGTTCCTAATGATGAACAAAGTTAAACAGCGCATGTAAAGGCAGGAGGAAATGTTTAATTTCTGTTAAAAAATGCTCTCACCGATAACATCATCAACCTTGCACTGCAGAATACTGTAGACGCATACAAGGTTTTGGCTTCCCTGTTTTTACTAGTATCCGTCTGAATATACTCCTACTTTTGTGAAATGCCTCTAAAAGTTAGCATGTATGTAGGTATGTATATTATTCAGCTAATTGGAGGAGTGGGATAAATTTCTCAGAAATTTGGTAGGCACTTAATTTAAACGAGATAAATACACTGTCTCCTCTGCCTCTTTACGCCTTCTTTTTTTAAAATAACTTATACTGGCAACAAAATGTTTTATGGGCCAGAAGGCTCAGGCATATAGTTTTACATGCCATTGTTTGCAAGGATACTCCTGAATGAAAAAAGATACCTGGTCATGTTAACCTAGGTAAAGCTTTTTGTGTGTGAAAAAAGAAGAGACCATTCGGAACCTATCACAAGCCATCTTACTTCTGGAGATTGGGTTGGGGGTAATGTCCACCCACCTATAATCTTCACCCACTGCCAAGAAATGTCAAAAATGCTGGGTAAAAGAGTTTCTACCCTGTACCTAGAGTCCAGAAATACATTATCTGGTTGCAACATAGGGTTCTTCTTTGCTGGCTGTTTAGGAGTGGACTAGCGCGGATTAAATAGGGTTGCTTGGGTTCACGTGGAGTTGGTGCAATCATCACATCCAAATGACATACTGGAGTTCAAGTAACCTTATTTGTTCCAATATTGTGAAGGGATTTAACAAATTAGTCACTTTAGGATACTGGCATATTGAACTTTTCCTCTGTTCCTTGGTAGAAGGGCAGGGGAAGTGACATTTTTAAAGACTCTGGTTGACTATCACTGAAGCAATGCATCACTTAAAAAATAGAGGGGGGAAATCCTTTGGTTTGTCTAAAGGCCAGTCAAGAAAATGCCCACAGCTCAATTAAGAGAAACCAAAGAAAATACTTTTTTTAAAAAAATGATGCATTTAGCAATTTCTAAAAGTAAATTTCACTTTACGTCTCCTTCTCCTCTGCCAAGAAGCAGAGGAATTGTTCAATTTTTCCTAGTATCCTAAAATTGCTTGCTTATTAAGCCCCTTCAAGATATGGAAATTCCAATTGGAAAGACCCTTTAGAGCCAGGAAGACTCACTTTTGTTCTATTCCCAGTAAACACAGAGGCTGGAAACAGACCAAAACAGAACAATACCACCTACACCAAAAACATAGAAGCTCCTGGTATGGCTCAGTAGTACTGCTCTGGGGATGGTTTCTCCCAACCTGTCACCACAGTGGACCAAACAGTGGCACAAATGTCCCTCTGATTGAACTCATATGCAATTTTGCCACTATCATGTCAGAAGTGCAGAATTCAAATTACTTGATAAAACCTTGAATGGTGAACAAAATGATATCAGGGCTGGAAAGAAATCAGGGCCAGAAGGACATGAGTGTCAAATTACCCCAGAGATTTCCATAAATGGGAAGACATTTGATATTAAATGGAAGCCAGGATAGTTTACGTCAGTGGTCCCCAACCTTTTCCCAGTCATGGACCCTTTGGGGTATGTGTGGCATGCTTGCACGGTGTGTGTGGCACAATCACGCAGGGGGGCATGGCATGCTCGTAGGGGCTGAGCACACTTGCGTGCATGCTTGCAACATACTCATGGGGGGTTGCTCACGGGGGAGCAGGAGATCTGTGTCCGTGGCCCAGTCTTGCTTAGGCCGTGGACTGCTCCTGGGTTGCGGACTGGGGGTTGGGGACTCCTGGCTTACGTGCAAATATTCTGTTCTTTACTTCCATGTATTAAAATTATATTTATCAAACTATCTATATATTATACTAGCACTGTCTTTCTGCAAGATCTTCAGCTCATGTCTATAATGTTATATAACAGTATTGCCAGATGCTGACATCTCAGTTTTCCCTGTCAAAATATAGGTGCCATTTTGCAACTTAATGCCTAGAAATGGTGTGAACATGGTAATGATGGAGAAAATAATCCTCTGAAGTTCTGACACATACAGCCTTCGAAATATTCATTCACCCCACTTTGAGAAGTCAAGATTATGTCTTTGAATTATTCATACAACTGGATACATAGAAAATGTGTTGAAATGTTTTTTCAGACAAGCTGTCCCACAATGTTCTTGTGAACTTCAGTAAAGACTCTGAAGAGCTAATTCCATGTACAAGTTAAAGCCTCATCTCCAACCAACACAATACCCATATACCTGATTGTAAGATTCACATACAGACCACGGCATGTTTGATGGAAATCACGTACAAATTGGCTTAAGGCCAATTCCCAAAATATCCTCAAAATCTTTTGATAACTGGTGAATATTTACCAAAATTAAATTTTTGATTGAATAGCATAATTCATGTTTCTTTTCGGGTCTATCACTGGCTGAAATTAAATTACACTACAGCATATTATGCCTTTCCATTATTTCAGAAATACTCTTTAAAAAAGAAAAGAAAAGAAGAGATGATTCCCTAATACACAAACAACTCTTTTTACATGGAAGGGCATATTCTGTTGTTGGCTCGCATATTCATGAAGGTGAATTTTGGGCTTAATCCAACTTTTAATCTCAATAAATTTGCTTCACAGAAATGAATGGGTCCTGTTAATCACAATTTGATTTCAGTGGTTCTACCTTTCTTGGGAGTACAATTAGATTTAAGCTCTATTTCTTCTAGAAGACTTAGAGGAAAATGTATTATGTAACCACAGGCCTCAATCTATTGTGGTGCTGAGCTGAGCAGCACCAATATAATGGAATTTCCTTAATTTCCTGTCAAGTTGCAAACCTTCTGGAATAGGTTTCTGAGGTTTCATACAGAGTTGCCATGGGAAGGAGAGAGCCCCACCCCCGCCCACTTCTGGTGATTTCCTCTGTTTTACAGCAGAAGTCCAGTGCTGGATCCTGCCCATAATAACAACAGTAATAGCAAAAACAATACAATTTCACACTTCAGGATATTTAAAGTACTTCACTCTGATCGAGCAAAATAATAACCAAAAAGCTCACTGATTTACAAATCTATTGTGGACTAGCAATCTGGATGGATTTTTGTTTGATGACTAGAAAGAGGAAGACTAAAATACTCCACTTGTCACCAACTTCCTTCTCCTGACATATTTTACACACACCAGTCTAGATTCAAACCTGCAGCAGTAGTAATGTGATACAAGACTGTATCATACACTGTAGGGGCAACCAAATGACTTAGCACCTAAAATTCTTCTCTTGGCATACTAGCTGTGCATCACAAGTTTGCTAATATAGACAGCATTCAAATAATAAAATTCATACACAACTACAGTCCAGGAAAAGTTATACAGTGTTCTTTTTTGTCATGTGAACTTGGTTCATGGTGAACAGATTCATGTCCCCAAACTACCATTACTTGTGATAAAACTGATACTGCCAGTAGAAATAGATCTCTGCTTCATGTAGGATTGAAGTTGCAACTTACTCAACCAATCAAGGCTTATAGATGAGTAAGGAACTATGGGTTCTACGCCTTGGAGAAATGAAGCCTCAATTCTTCCAGCACACACATATATAGATTTTTTAAAAAATACATAGATAAATGTGAAGCTACCAATGAAATTGAGATAATAAAAAAAGAAAATTTTTCATCATGGGGATAAAACACAGATGTGATATCATGCATATATCTTTTAAAGAGGATATAAATGATCTACTTACATCTGAATTAAACCTTAACTGGCAAATGTTGCACGATATGATTTGTTTTCTCCTGTGAGGAAGAGGAACCCCAAAGGTATGATTTATTACAGCTTTTTGAATCGGGTCCATCTGAAACAAAAGGAGAAGAAATAAAAGTGTTTCTGTTCTCTTGGAAGTGTGCCAGTTCTTGTTAACAATGTTCAGCATATTCTATACACTACCAAAATAATATTTTAAACATCAAGAGCAATGTCTACAAACATGTAGAGAAGGAAGGGAAGAAAATGAATCATCATTTAGAAAGAAATATTGGGAACTAGCAAATTTAGTACCTCCGAAGGTTAGAATTTTGGAAAATCGCTGCACATTAAGTTGCTATATCCCAAGGCAGTATCCTCTTCACATTACTGTGTGTGCAGAGGGAATTATGGGAAGTGGGAGCAGCTATGTGGTGAGGTCTGGTCAAATAGCTGGCCGTGAGACCCATGGCTATATGGTTGCTACACTGAAGTTTTAGATTGGGCTCGCACAAACAGAAAGCAGATTTTTCTCCTCTTTAAAGCTAGTGTGTATTTATGTTTTAATCCTATACCCCTTTAGCAGGGACTAAACCTTTTTGAAGTCAGCAGGATTTACTTCTGAGAGGAGAAGCCAGAGGACTGAGCTGTCAGCTGTCAGCATCTCAATTGCAGAAAGGAAAATTTGGGCGGTAATAAATCTTCCCCTTTGCTGCCTTTTCCCCACTCCTTTGTTCCTGGATTTGTTCCTTGTTTGCACAGATTTTTGGCAGCTTCAGGAGACCCCACTGCCCTCTCCCTCTGCAGCTTCCACCACTAGAACTGCTTTCTGCCACTGAGAGTGTAGCAGATGCCAGTGAAGACCAGGCGAGAGACTGTTGAATGGTTTTGAATTGTGCCAAGATCTTGGAGGCTATTCACCAGTCTCATGACAAAGAAGGCAAGGGTCGAAGAAATATTTATTGTAAAGTAGCAGTCACCATTGGGCAACTGCAAGAACTCTTTTCAGAAAGAGGTAGCTGCATATGTGGGAAAAGCATCACCATTTGCACAAGCAGTAGTTGGGAGAGCATAGTGACACAATTGGAGGCCAGCCTCTGAGTTTAATTAAAATAATTGGGGTGGGAGGGAAATGCATTTATGGACATGCAAAAGCCAATAGTTTTCAAAAGACTTTTTTTCCTGTGGAAATTAACTGATAGGACTGATTTCCTGATAATGGGTCAACAACTGGCTGCATTTTTGGACTTTGTTGGTTAATGTGGTTGTAAAAATTATGATGAGCATGTATACTTCAATATTTACTGTTACACTGCCACTTTCTGGTAGACCTGAAATGAAACAGTCGGCTCCAATAAGCCACTTTCCCTCCCAACAGATGGCATGAATACCTTTGCACTGACCCTGGATTCCATTCTTTTCTTTTTTTAGTTTCACCAAAATCCCGCGTGTCGCTTAATCCTGAAATGGGGCAAAAGTGTTGCCAATTCTGCAGGAAACAGCCTGCGACCAGGATTTAATGAAAACACAGTGAAGCAAGGCCTACTTTTGCAAGCTCTAAAAATTGAATACATCATCATCTGCCTCAATATGTAACACATGAGTTAATTCACTTTTCTTTGTATGGAAAAAAAACACCCAAGGAAAAGCAGGTGCCCTTTGAGATCAAACACTATAAATACGACACTATAGATCATCTGTTATTATAGAATAGATGATGAGGCCAGGGACTGGCACTTTATCACAGGCATCAGAATCCTGCCTTTGGTTCCAAGAAATGTCATCCAGTATCCCCTTAGGATAAGCCACTGGATTCACCTAAGTCAATCCAAGCAGAACCCCACATGTCTATACTGGAAAGGAGCTACAATTACGCATTTTCCTACAGATTTGGGCTTTTACAGGCTATACAATCTGTCTCTAAATGTGAAGCTCATGATTTGTACATGTAGTTCTATATACAAAGAGTTTTGGTTGGTAGCCAAGGTGATTAAGAAAAGCTGGTTCACATGCAGAAATCTCAACTCTGCCAATTGCTCTTTGATGCAGCAAGTCAGAATTACTTTTCCAAATATAACCCCATAAATCCCAGTTAGGAATAAACTCAAGGCAGAAAAATGAGAGTCAGAGCACAAGAATTATATTTGGCTGTAGCAGTTTTCCTTGAGTTTTCTTTAGGGACTTGCTGCAACCCCATAGCATTCTAAAAACATATTAGATAAGCTGCCCAAATGTTTCTTAGAGGAAAGGGAAACTGGCATGAGAATAACATACACATACACACATCACATCTGGAAGATGAGAAACAAAGATCACAAAGGGAAAAAAACTGCTTGAACCATAGCAACAAGCTAAAATAAATGGACTATCAGGGCAGAGAAAGTGGAAGACTTAATCATTTATCAACATTTCCAAATCTGCATATATTTCAACTTTCCTTATGGCAACCACAATTGCCTAGTATCCCTAATAGACCAGGAATTCCACATGACTGAACGGAATTTCAAGCAGGCAAGTGAATGGGGGAGGAAGGAAGGGTCTGATTTGCTCCATTGTCCTTCATCAGCCTTAAAAAGCCATCTTTGTTGATTAGTCTGATAAAAGACAGCAAGGGAGAAGATAACAAGGAGTCACATTCTCTCTTGCTTTTCCTTTTTTCCCCCAATCTTTTTTGACTACAAGTCATTTTGGCTTGTATCTTCACCATGAAACACCAAGAGGGGAAGAAGAAGAACCGTGTTTCCCTGAAAATAAGACAGGTTTTTGTTCCAAAAAATGCATTAGGGCTTATTTTCAGGGGATGTTTTATTTTCTTTTCATGTACAACAATCTACATTTATTCAAATACAGTCATGCCATGTTCTTCTGGTTGCTGCACCATGCTGGAGGGCTTAACTGGGGCATATTTTTGGGGTAGGGGTTATATTACGAGAATCTTGAAAAATCATACTAGGGCTTATTTCAGGTTAGGTCTTATTTTTGGGGAAACAGGGTAGTAGTAGTAGTAGTAGTAGTAGTAGTAGTAGTAGTAGTAGTAGTAGTAGTAGTAGTAGTAGTAGTAGTAGTAGTAGTAGTAGTAGTAGTAGTAGTAGTAGTAGTAGTAGTAGTAGTAGTAGTAGTAGTAGTAGTAGTAGTAGTAGTAGTAGTAGTAGTAGTAGTAGTAGTAGTAGTAGTAGTAGTAGTAGTAGTAGTAGTAGTAGTAGTAGTAGTAGTAGTAGTAGTAGTAGTAGTAGTAGTAGTAGTAGTAGTAGTAGTAGTAGTAGTAGTAGTAGTAGTAGTAGTAGTAGTAGTAGTAGTAGTAGTAGTAGTAGTAGTAGTAGTAGTAGTAGTAGTAGTAGTAGTAGTAGTAGTAGTAGTAGTAGTAGTAGTAGTAGTAGTAGTAGTAGTAGTAGTAGTAGTAGTAGTAGTAGTAGTAGTAGTAGTAGTAGTAGTAGTAGTAGTAGTAGTAGTAGTAGTAGTAGTAGTAGTAGTAGTAGTAGTAGTAGTAGTAGTAGTAGTAGTAGTAGTAGTAGTAGTAGTAGTAGTAGTAGTAGTAGTAGTAGTAGTAGTAGTAGTAGTAGTAGTAGTAGTAGTAGTAGTAGTAGTAGTAGTAGTAGTAGTAGTAGTAGTAGTAGTAGTAGTAGTAGTAGTAGTAGTAGTAGTAGTAGTAGTAGTAGTAGTAGTAGTAGTAGTAGTAGTAGTAGTAGTAGTAGTAGTAGTAGTAGTAGTAGTAGTAGTAGTAGTAGTAGTAGTAGTAGTAGTAGTAGTAGTAGTAGTAGTAGTAGTAGTAGTAGTAGTAGTAGTAGTAGTAGTAGTAGTAGTAGTAGTAGTAGTAGTAGTAGTAGTAGTAGTAGTAGTAGTAGAAGAAGAAGAAGAAGAAGAAGAAGAAGAAGAACAACAACAACAACAACAACAACATCAACAACAACAACAAC